CCCCAAAACCCCAAAACCCCAAAACCCCAAAACCCCAAAACCCCTCTTAAGACCAACAAAGGTGAACTACTTAATAAATATTAATAAAATGTCAGACCTCGATATGGATGTTGTTATGAAGCAATCCCTTATTGCTGAAGCTAAGTATGGCAGCCTAAGTAGAAAAGTTGCTATTCTCTCTGAAGATAAGAAGTTCTTCGATAGTGCAGACTACTTCCTCAAGCAAGCTATCATGATGAAAGTTGCAGGAATGAATGCAGATGAAGACATTCCTGAAGGCGATGCTGAGTAGACAGCATTCCTCCAAATTCTCTATAATAATTGATACCTAAATTATCTTTTCACTTAAATCTGTATATGTCTCGCTGGGTCAGGATCTGAGTAGCTAGATTAGAGGGATTTTAGGCCTAAATTCCCATATTCTAGAATCGCCCTGACCACCGATTGGTCATCTTAGAATATGAAGCTGTAATTTTGTAAGGTAAACCGGTATATACTATCCTAATTTCGGCTGGCTAGCATTATGGATGATCATATATGCTATAGTTAAACATAGTGTTCGATTGGGGCTCAGAGGATGTGGTAGCCGATATTACTTCAGAAAAATCTCAGGCTTCTGGTCTTGAAATACTCTGATTTTGCGATATTTGAACTTTGCGATAAATTTGCTGTTTTCTAGTTTAAGCTTCAAGAAATTTAGTAGACCTAATTATTATTTGAATTGATTTTGCCTAAAATATGCAAAAATATCATAATACATATGGATGAATGTCTAAAGATCTCTCTTATAAGAATCGAGGAATGATGATAAAAATTTAAGAATGATTTCCATAGTCTCACATTTGAGAAAAAGCTTATTTATTCTTCCTTCCAGAAGGCTCATGAGACCTAGATGCTTAATTTTTACTATAAATTTAGTAATAACATTAAGCTAGAAGCATTAGAGTTGACTAGCTCGTGATCTAATTGGTGGAAAGAAACCACCCACATGTGTCCTTTCGTGTGAGTAAAAACCTTCTAGTATTGGCAGAAAGAATTTTAGGTGGAGACTTACGAAGTATTTCGATAATAATTCATAACACTTTGGGGGTAGAAGGGGATTGGAGGATATGAGATTAGTGGTATTTTACATTGTATCTCCTTTAGCTTAGCTATCAGAAATCTTCTCATTATTTAATGTCCCAAATTAGGCATTGTAAAACAATAATAGGGATTCATATAATCCCCAACTTTAAAATCGGATCTAAGCCAATATTTCACCTGAAAAGTGGAAAATTCTGAGAAAAGTGAAGTGCAAGGGATGGGTAAAGATTCATGCTCTCATATCCCTTCTCTAGCAGTGAATCATCAAGCCTGACCATCATTTAAGCTGCTGGATCACTAGCTTAATTACCTAGTTACTTCAAGAGGTATTCCTAAAATCCTGAGATGATTCCATTATAATGTACTAATAAGCTCAAAATTAAGTTCAATTCATAGAGTACTAAAGGGGTTTTGGGGTTTTGGGGTTTTGGGGTTTTGGGGTTTTGGGG